CCCCTTTTATCGGGAGGGTTTAGAATAATATACTAACCAATTGGTTAAAAAGTGAGCACAGACCAATCCCCTTGGTTTTCAGGACGCTGAAAATCAATCAGGTTCTTAAAAGAAGAATTGTATTTAAAAAAACAACAACAAATAAAAGAATCCCACCTACAAAATCAGGATGGAAAGTAACTTTACAGGGTAAATAAAAAGATTTAAAACACAGATGTCAGGGTTCCCTCCCCACTCTGAACTCTAGGGTACAGATGTGGGGACCCGCATGAAAGACCCCCTAAGCTTATTTCTACCAGCTTAGGTTAAAAACTCTCCAAGGCACAAATTCTCCCTTGTATCTTGGATTAGGTAATGCTGCCACCACCAAGTGATTAGACAAAACTCAGGGAAAGGACCACTTGGTGTTCCTACTTTCCCCTAATATTCCCCCAAATCCTACACCCCCTTTCCTGGGGAGGCTTGAGAATAAACAAGATGAGTACAAACCAACCTTGGGTTTTTAGGATACTAAAAAACCCAATCAGATTCTTAAAAAAACCCAGAACTTTATCTTCCATTTTAATCTTACAGAGGTACTCCTTTCACCTTTTTTCTTTTTAATAATCTCACAGGCAATAGGATTCAAAACAGAGAGGGTTTCCCTCTGGGCAAAACTTTAAAGTTACAACAAGAAAACCAGCAATACACCTTCCTCTCAGCACAGAGAAAATCACAAGTCAAAACCAAAGTAAGCTAATGCATTCCCTTGTTAGTACTTACTAATCCTAATGGAGTTGGATTGCTTGCTTTCTTGATCTGTCTCCGGCAAACACCCAGAACAGACAAAGAATAGACAAAACAAAGCCTTTCCGCCCGCTCCCGCCCCCCCCCCCGATTTGAAAGTATCTTGTCCCCTTATTGGTCCTTTTGGTCAGGTGCCAGCCATGTTACCTGAGCTTCTTATCCCTTTACAGGTAAAAAGATTTTATGCCTCTAGCCAGGAGGAATTTTATAGTATTGTATACAGGAAGGTTGTTACCCTTCCCTTTATATTTATGACAACAGAGGATTCCCCTCTAGGCTTAGCTTCAAAGTGACAAAAAACAAAACAAAAACAAAAACAACAAAAAAAACAGGAATAAAACTCCCTCTTAGCATAGGGAAAATTCACAAGCTAAAACAAAAGATAACCTAATGCAGACAGTATTTGGTCCTGCCATGCGGGCAGGGGACTGGACTCGAAGTTCCTTCCAGTCCTAGAATCTATGAATCTATGAATCATATGCTTGGCTTTACTTACAATTTCTGCAATTTTAGATGTATCTTTTCAGGTATCTTTTCAAGCGATGGTTTACCTGCTTGGTCAATCTCTCTCTCCAGAGAGGGCATAGACAAAGAGAGCACAAACAAAATCTCTCCCTCCTTCCATATTTGAAAGTATCTTCTTTCCTTATTGGTCCTTTTGGTCAGGTGCCAACCAGGTTATTTGAGCTTCTTAACCCCTTACAGGTAAAGTGATTCTGTATCTCTGGCCAGGAGGGATTTTATGTTATTGCATACTGTTGTTACCCTTCCCTTTATATTTATGACAGTGTCACCATTTTATTGTCCCATCAAAAGGTGACAGTTGCTGCCACAATTGCAATTTCCTTTGTAATATAAATCATGATCAAAAGACCCACCCCCAAGTAAGTTGAGCAGTGTCCTTTTCCCCTCAGGTTCTTAAGTCCAGCAACCCAAAAGTCCCTTTAACGCACCCATCCCTTCTCTGAACTCCACTCCCAGTTGCTGTCCTTGGACAGTGCAAACCTAGAGTTCAGAGATGCATCTGCAGAGTTCACCTCCCACCCTGGGTAGAAGTGGGGGTAAGGCAGCACCTTACGCACTCCACTGCTCGGTCACTCGCTCGCCACCCACTCTCCACCAGGCGCCCCTCTGGCCGCACTGCTCCACCAGCCACACTAGGCACTCACCACACCTCCCCCGAAGATGTTTTCAGGGCTCCCCACTTAATACAGCTGTCAGTGAGTTCAGTTGTTAGTGGGGAACCTCACTGCTGGGACACACTGGGTAGTCTCTTGCAACAGAGACACTGTCCAAAAACAGGTCTAATACTTAAATGTGGGCATCAACAATTTCAGCTTAGTTGAATCTAAATTAGCTCAAGTTTCACAGCACAAAAAGAATCAAGTAGCACCTGGAACTTTTACACAATGCCGCCACCACCCCCAACCAACCAACCATACACTACCCTTTTTTTAACTCACTGAGCGTTGGAACCATGTCCCATGCCTAACGAGTGACTTTTAGCTGCGGGTGAATCTCTCAATTGGGAAATGCCAAGTACAGTTCTGCTGCCCTCGATTCATGCAACAGGGATAACAACCTTTTATTACTCCTGATCCAATAACAAGGCGACTGGGATCCCACATTAGCCAAACGTGATCATTTGGGCAAGCAATCCCATCATGCTGAGCACCAAGCAGGGTGGGTGTGCCCATGCAAAGGAGCTCAGCTCCTGATGGCCTTTTCCACAGCTCACCACTAGATGTCAGGGGAGAGCTCAGTCAGACTCTGCTTACACACGTAACACTGGAGCCAGGCGCTGTGAGCATCTGGGCAGAGCGAGGGGGGCCCTGGGCAGAGGACCCAGCACAGGGAGATGTCACCAGATCAGAGGCCCTGGCAGGCCAGATGGGGGGGGCATAAACCTGATGGGAGGGGCAAGGCTTGGGAGAAGGGTCCTGGCACTTGGAGCCTGAGGACATGTGGGCACTGCCAGAGCAGGTGTCTGACCCGCAGTGTCACTACAGCGCAGCCAGGGCCTGGAAATGTAGGGAACAGGCTGAATTTTTTTTGAGTCCCAGAAACCTTTGTCTGCTGCGTCCCCAGGCCCATTGGGCGGGTTCCTGGATCCTTCCACCTTTTCCATTTCCCCCTCATTTTTTTGCAGTTGTTTAATCAGTTGTGTGTGGTTTAAACACAATGCAGTGATCGCTGGGTCAGGGAAGTGGCTGTTGAGCAGAGATTACCCCATAATGGGGACACGGTAGCTCTGTTTTGAGTCTCCCATGGTAATACCAGGGGTCAAGGGCTCCAGGGATTCTTGGTCCAGCCTTGTCAGGGTTACAAGAAGTCTGCCGCATGGGAGAGGGAAGTAGAGTCCTCCAGGGCAGGCAGGCATCCAGGGCATGGAGTCAGATCCTTTCACTATCTGATTCCATCAGGGTAGAATAGACACCAGGAAACTTCCCCACGACAGTGGGACAATTGCCCGGTTACATTTGCCTCAGTCCCACCTTGCAGTCTGACCATTAGATGGACAAATGTCCCTTAATGCACAGCTCCCCCTTCCCCAACAATGCCCCCCTCTCCCCATTGGTTTCCCAAATCTGAGAAATCCTAGAATTCAGGGGCGTCTTCGTGTGGATTCACCTCCCGCCCCGGGGATGCTGAGTGATGGCCCTGCTGCTGCCGCTGTCTCTGTCCCTGCCCCTTTGCTGTGGGCTCATCACTGGCGCTGCCACATTTGCCGTTTGCCGCTTCTGGCTCGAGCTGCGATGCTGAGTTCTGAGGCTCTGGCAATTGGCCCAGCGCTTAGTGATTTCCCTGGGTGGGGGGGGGGGACCCCACTGCTGCTGCATCCTGTGCTGTCTTTGATCACGTTGTCTTTAAACAGAGCCCCCAACCTAGGTAGGAGAGAACACCTGGCCCCACCCCCTCGGGCTCTCACTGGATATGGGGGCACTTGCCCCGCTCAGCGCGTGAGGGTCAATCGGGCAGGCTGAGTACGGTTCTGCTGCCCTCGACTCGTACAATGAGGATAACAACATTTCACACCCCTGCGTCCCAGATTAACCCCGAACAGCCCAAACTGAGCACTGTGGCAAAGCAAGTCTGTCGGCCGAGCATCTAGGCAGCCCAGGTGTGTCTGATACGGTCTGCTCCTGAGGTCTGCTCCCCCAGCTCATCCCCCAGGGCAGGGGGGAGCCCATTCAGACCCCGCTGACATACACAGGGCTGATTTTGTCCAGTTTGTGCTAAACCAATGGATTCCTTGAAAGGAGCTGTACTGTGGGGGTCCCTACCTCTGGTACCCCTGAACAGGGCTCACGTTTGTGGATTTGCCAGGAGGCCAGTTAGGTTTTAAAGCTGAAATCTCACACACTCGGTTTGGCAGTTTGGTGACTATTCTAGCTGCTATTTGAATGGGATTGAAGCAGGAGAGCCCCTTTCCCTGGAGCAGAGGCCTGGGGCCAGCACAACAAGGGGACGCTCTGAGAGAGGCTGTAGGAAGGCTGGGGGCAGAGAACACCCCATCAGTCAGGGACAGAGATAAATGTAACCGGGAAGAGGAGAAGGGATGTTCCCAGGGTCACACAGGATCCCTCCAGCAGAGCTGGGACTGGAATCCAGGAGTCCTGCCTCAGTCTTTTTTGGTTTGTATTCCTGTCCTGTCTACGGGTTTTCAAATGCTGGAAAGACGTACCCAGGGACTCTACTATCCAAAAAGAAACTTCCGCAGAAAAACCCGGGGAAAGCAGACAAAGGCACTGACACGAGCCTCATCACCATTGCTGCTACCTGCATCGTCTCCTGGAACCCAGGCCTTCGTCATCCTCATCCTAAAAATGTCCTGACCAGAGTGGGCCTAAAATACCACCCCCCCTGCCATTGGCACCTCTGCTGGTGCCAGCTAAATCCAAACACCAGGTAGGATCAAACAAACGTTGAACAGGAGCAACAACAGCTCCAGCCCATCTCAACCAACTTCTTCTCCTTTAACCCCCAAAACAGGACAGGAGGGATGAGTGCTCAGGGCGGGGCACAGGGGAGCGGGATGAACGGGCCATGTTTCGGGGTACTGATGCCCCATGTTTTTACCAGAAGGGCAGGGCCCTCCTCATTCTTAATTCAATCCATTTCCTTCCCCTGAGGGACTGGTTCTGGGGTGCTGAGGGTGGAGCCAGGCGACACATGGACTGTCCATGCCAGAGTCAGGAACATAAGAAAGGAGACACACACTGAGCTGAATGCTGGAGGGAAAGTTTATTATCACGTCACTGTGCTGAGATTGCTGAGAAGAGCAGAGCGTGGGTGCGACAGGGAGAGAAGGGGGCAGAGCAGAGCGGGAGTGACACAGCGTAACACAGCGATGCTTTGCAGAAGGAACTTTGCAGCCGGGGATGCAGGATCTGGTCTCCCAGGGGAGCCGGAGGGACCCGATTCACTCACAGCCCATGTCCTGGGAGCCTCCAGGTGCAGGCGAGCTGCCTCCGCTAGGCTTTGCACTTACAAACGAACGAGAATCTCCAATGACAGGGATAATCATGCCATTTCTGAAAACCTAGAAAGAAAAACAGAAATGACCCCTGGGGTGGGGCAGGCTGGGCCGTTCCTCCTCATACAATGACCCCCAACCCCACCCCATTCCATGCCCCTCGGAGAAGATCCCAACTCCTGTGCACAGCCCTGAGGAAGAGGAGGGTGGGATGGAGCCCTGAGCACCCCAGATTGGGGCAGCCCCATCCCACAAAGAGAGGCCGAGGCTCAGTGTGAAAGGGGAGACGCCTGGTCCATGTGCTACTGCTCCTACCTCCCCCACCCCACGTGCCCCCCACCCCAGCCAGAGGGCAGAGGAGAGAGCGAGAGCCCTGCCCCAGGACTGGGGGCACCCGCTCAGGAATTGGGCTGCTGCCTCCCTCCCTGCTGAGTGAGCTGCCCCACAGCCAGGCCCCCTCCATGCCCTGCCCGCCTGGGTCTGGCTACACCCATGGGAACATCTGTCCCAGGCAGGGCTCAGCCGGCATGCAGAGGGGATGTGTCCCTGCCCCAGGAGTCAGTGTTACCGGCCTGCTGTGCACGGAGCAGCACGTTCCTCCCTCAGACCCCGTTACCCCTCTGCTCTGGGGGTGTCTGTGCCCATGCCCGGGGGCTGCCCTGGCAGTAGTATTCCTGCTTAGTCAGCCCAGACAGCGCCTAGGGAAGGACAGTCCTGGGGCTGGAATGGGTGGGCTCAGCCCCTCAGCAGCACCCCAGGCCCAGCAGGGAGCTGCGCGGGGGGTATAGGCCGGTCTCAGTGGCCTGTTCCCTTGGGTGCGGGTTTCTGCTGCTGTTTGACTCTATCCTGTCCAGTGACTGCAGCCCTGGCTGTGCCCATCTGCCGGCATCAGGCCTGACGGACACTGAGCCTGTAACTCAAGACTGTATCATGATTCACATGCGCCAGGGGCTCCGTTAAGGTTACATGGGCAGCCTTAGACTGGCACTTCCTTGATTTTGGGACTTTCATGTTCCTTTAACATAATGTTTTGGGTGCAATTTAGGAATAGTTGATAAAAGTAACAAAGAATTAATGTTTTAGTAAAATGTTAATCAATTATTACAGAGCCCAGTGCTCAATGGGCTGCTTGTTACCCTAGCGTGTGACTGTCTAACACACCCGGCTCATGGCGGGCTCAGGCCTGGCCCAGTGATAAATGGAATTGGTCTGAGAGCCCCGGCCCTGCCCCTCGCTCCCCACACCCACTGGCACTGCAGGCCCCACACAGACACAGCACTCAGTGATCTGGGCCAGGCAGGGGATTAGTTATAAATTTTGCCCCTCTCCTGTTCACAGCCTGTCTGCAAAGCGACTCCTCGAATCCACCAACACTGGCTAGTCCAGGGGTTCTCAAACTTGGGGTTCTGACCCCTCATGGGGTCACAAGGTGGTTTCATGGGGGTCATGAGCTGTCAGCTCTGTGGGGCTGGCAGCCCCGAGTCACCATTCAATTAATGACCGCTCTCGTTGTGAATGTATAACGGGGGTCCCACTGAGAGGCTTGCTGTGCGAAAGGGGGCACCAATACAAAAAGGTTGAAAACCACTGGGCTAGTCGCTGTCGCCATCTGGGCTATTTGGAACTTCTTCCCCTCCCCGCTGGTGCTTTGAGCACCCGGTTACATACAGCACCGCCGCGGGGTCTGCTCCCTGGCTGCAGCTATTGTTAACGATCCCCTCCCAGTGCCTGTTTCCATGGGAACAGTCATTAGTGCTCAATCTGTGAATGTTTCAAGACTGTGCAGCACTTTCACAAGCAGCCGGCGTGTATGCGAATGCTTGTGAGTAACACGAACCTGTGAGGGGGCCAAATGCAGCTCTGGTGCCCACATCACTGTGTGGATCAGTGTTTGCACAGCAGGGGTGCAACAGCGACTCAGAGCCGTCACCCTTTAACAGCTCAGCAGAGTCCCCATCTGGGGCCAGGGGTGTGTGTGTGTGTGTGTGTGTGTGTGTCTGTCTCCTGCCTGTCACTGGAGCAGAGACGTGAACTGACCCAGGGGAGCTGGTAAGTAGGAGTTTTACCAGGTGAGACATGGGGTTCTCTGCTGACTGCCCTCCCAGCAGGGAAGAGAGAGGAGTAAGGATCTGCACTCCAGAGCGCGCTGGGGACAGCCTGGATCAGAACCTGTATGGTCAGAGGGCTGCCAGGGTTCCCCTTGTAGGCGCATGTGGCTCTGATCCACCGACTTACCTGGACGTTCTAACACCACACAGTGCTCGTTTTTGCGTGGACTATCAGGCTGCCACTTATCCCAAGCTGTGAAACTGAGCAGGGAATTATCTGACCATCTCCAGTCTCGATCCTGCAGAGACAAAGGAGACAGAGCCCCTGTAAAATCCAAGGTTACACAGCTAGAGACATGCCCCGGAGCCAAGGGCCATGGGCAGGGCACGGGCAGAGGATGCCCAGTGACACTGGAGACACTGATCATTGCTATGAAATGTCAGCGCTGACAACCAGGGCTACATTTACTGGCAGCTGAAGTTACACCAGGACTTGCCCAAACCCTGGGAAGCATGAAAACAGCAAGTGAAGGGAGAGTCTCCGTCACCCCCTGTCCCTGCCATCCCCACATCGCCGAGGGGAGCGCACCCCGACCTGCCCTCAGGTTCCACATCCATCTCCAGCCCAGCCCGACAGGCAGCACCTGCAGCGTCATCCCACGCGCTGTCCCGCAGCCCCACGCTGCTGCCCCCGTTCTCTCTCGTGTGCACAGACCCACGCGACGACGCTCCCCAAGCCCATCCACGGGGGAGTTACTCTGCTCCCCGCTGCAGAGATCACGGCGGTAGGTCTGGGGGACGGGGGCGCTGGATGAAGCTGGGTTCGCACTGTCGGGGATCAGGGGCTGCAGCAGAATTAGTCACCTGGCAACCCAACCAGCGCACCCAGCCGGCTGCAGGCCACCCGACTGACCGCACCCCCTGCCTGGGCAGGAAGGGCAGCTGGCCGGCTCTTAGCCCAGCAGCTCTCTGGCTGCTCAGTGTGGTCATGCCACGGCCGCGATCCTCCCTGTGCTGCTGCTCCTCGCCGGGCTCCTGTCCTGCTCCAGCCCTGCTCCTCCTCCTGCTCCTGCTTGTTTCCCAGCCTTGCTCCTGCTCAGTCCTGGCCGCCTCGGCTCGCTCCTGGTCCCGGCTTCCTGACCCTGCCCCTGGGCTCCGGCGCTGACCCTTGATGTGCCGCCTGGGTCCCCTCCTGGCTCTGACCCTCGGCTTGGCTATTAATTCCTGACTCCGGCTTTGACCCTTGTGTTGGATCCGCTTCCTGCTCCTGCTCCGACCATTAGCCTGACCAGCCACGGCCCCGCCTCTATCGCGTGTTCCCTGGGGCTGTTTGCTGGGGAGGGAAGCAGACGCCGTATGCGCCTGGAGTGGGCTGCCAACACCTCAGCCGATGGGAAGGAGCCGGGAATGTTGGCGACAATCCCCTTGTTCTGTCCGTGCGTTCAGGGATTCGGGTGGGTCCTGATCCCTCCTTCCCTGTCCCTGAAGGGAGTTCTGGGTTATTAATTCCCCAGGGTTTTGTATGGGGCTGTGTCCCTCATTGGGCAGCTCCTCCGTGGGCGGGTGCAGGGGGAGCTGCCGAGGGGCAGAGGCTGACGCTGCCCCAGGCTGAGTTGACCCCCCAAGGGGTGAAAGGCTGCGACGTGGCCCAGGAGGTCTCTGTCTCTGGCATTTTATCACGGTGAGAAGTGAGGAGCCAAGAGCAGTTGGGTGTGTTAGCAAGTGACGACAGCCTGTCGGCTGGAGGGAGCCTCGTGCAGGAGTCTGCACCATCCTTGTGCAAGTCCCATGTCACACACACGACCACACACTGTATCCCCGCCGGCGTCCTGCCCCGAGTCCATGGGGGAGCAGCAGCTGCTGAGCAGGGCCCCAGGGAAAGACACTAATGAGCCTGTCCTGGAAACGAGCCTCTTTGCTGGACTAGAGACTGCACAGGAGGGCCCACCCCCACCCCGGCACTGGCCTGCAGGGCCCTGACTGGCGACTGGACTGGCCCAGGGGCCAAACAAGAGCTGCAGTTGCTCACTTTGAGCCCCTACAGGCCTGGAGCTGACGCAGCTCTGGCCAGGTGACCCCCCCTCACTAAGCCCACCCTGAGGACGAATACACACAGAGCGACATCACTCCCAGGGCTCTGTGCCCTCGCATTGGTCGCTGTGCCCGTGGGGCTGCCCCTTTCCCCGAGCCCTCGCCGAGACGTCTCGTCTGTGTGGGGCGGGGCTGACTCTCGTGCCAGGCGTGTACGGTCTGAGCACAACGGGCCAGTGTGCTGGGTCCCTGGGCAGTAGTGTCACGAATGTGAATATTAATACCAGCAGTTCATACTCTGCACCGGGCGCTGGGGATCGACCCTGTGATGGGAAACCCAGGCGGTTACAGCCCCTTTTCACCCCGTTCCCATGGAAATCCTGCTCTGGTGGCACCCCCGCCCCAAACAACCTCACTGAGCAGAGACACAGAGCCCAGGGGCCTGGGGAGGGGCTGCCCGAGGCAGAGCGGGCACCGGGCACTCACATGGTCAGGGTCTGAGAGTCCGATCCAGACGGGATTGTTCTTTCTGTGGTACTTCCTGATATAATGGGCCAGCATGTTATTTTCTCCAGGACTGTGAATGGAGGCGAGATGGGCCCCGTGGCAGTGGTGATGGCAATGAGCCTGGGAGAAGAAAAAACAAAGCTAGTTACCCCCTTCCCGGCACTGCAGGGAGCAGCAGGCGCGAGTCCAGCACTGTTCTGGGCCCTGCCTCCCCCGGGCAGCAAGGGCTGGGAGGGGACA